TGTATGTGTGTGTGTGTGTGTACGTGTGTATGTGTGTGTGTGTGTACATGTATCTCAAAAAAGTGTATCATGTCAACACCTGGGCAACAAGTCATAGTCAAAAAGGCCTAATTCATTACAGATCTATAGGAAATCCCTCTTTACATGTACTTATGTTAGGGGGAGTAAACTCATTTGAATCAAAAAACGTATTAAAATATATAGAGTTATAGAACCTTAAAGTTAACAGATGATGAAAAAAATAAAATAAAAAAATTAAAATTAAAATCCACCTCACTTAGGTGGTGGAATCTTTTACTATATATCCTTTACTCCAAACAAATTTAGCACCACCTTACCACCACCTTACCACCACCTTACCACCACCTTACCACCACCTTACCACCACCTTACCACCACCTTACCACCACCTTACCACCACCACCTTACCACCACCTTACCACCACCACCTTACCACCACCTTACCACCACCTTACCACCACCTTACCACCACCTTACCACCACCTTACCACCACCTTACCACTACCACCTTACCACCACCACCTTACCACCACCCGCCTGCTTACACCCCTCACCCATGTTACTATAAGCGACTATGTATTGAACATTTGTTAAATTTATCTGGCTCAGTGTGGTCAAATGGTGGTCAGATCAAAAGAAAATCGGAACGGTCATACAAAAACGTAATTACTTTTCCAGACTTGTAAAAAACATGTCTACCCCGCATACCTCACGTACCAACGCACCAAGTCGCCCTGTCGCCAATTAAAAAACACGAACCTACCGAGACTTTGTTTCGTCTCAAACCTGACTTAACGGTGGTTGAAAGAAAATTCCAACCCTTAAATATATTTTGTTTTCGCTGACCCTCGCTATAAGCGAATAGTTACAACCAATGTCCTTACTCAGCGTAATTACAGCACCAGCTGTTACGTGATGGCTTCCCACTCTAGTAACCGAGCGGGGAAAAATCAATTAAAGTGGTACAGCTGTTACCACACTTAACGCGGAGACGCGGTTAATGGACCTCATTAAACACCGGACCCTACGGTGTTCGCTTCCGTGAACAACACATAAAATCGACGATGCGTAACAAAATTTAATTAGGCGGGACATCATGGTGTGATGGCCCGTGGGTGGAATCAATATTAACGCGCCCGTTGTCCAGTGTTTGACAAAAACAAAGGATTGCGGATCGATATGTACCACATGTTGCACGGCTGGTTAAAGGCTGGTATACAAAGTATACGTTCGCGTTGTGGTGGAAAATATAAAAATTAAAATCAAACTAATTAAAAATTACAACAAGTAAACAATCAAATTAAACAACAAAGAAAAGAAATATAAACAAAGTAATTAAACAATTTAAATCAAACAAATTAAACAATTACGTAATAAAAACACATTAAAATTACGTAACTAGGTCAAAAATTTAAACAGTGTCTTTTATTTTAAATACCATACATCAAAGAAAAGAAATATATCAAATAAATAAATAAACAAAAGTAATTAAAATCAAATTACGTAACTAGTTAATAATAATTTAACTAATTATAAAATAAAATAAAATTAAAAATAAACAAAATAAAAATAATTAAAAAGTAAACAATTTAAAAATTTAATATCAAATTACGTAACTCGTTAATAAAAATTACACAATATAAACAAAGTAATTAAATTAAACAACAAGTAAACAAACAAATTAAACAAAATAAAAATACAATCAAAGTAATTAAATTACGTAACTCGATAATAAAAATTAATTAAAAGTTTAAAAACTCATTAAAAACGCATTAAAATTACGTAACTAGGTCAAAAATTAATTAAAATTTAAAAAACTCATTAAAAAACGCATTAAAATTACGTAACTAGGTCACTGATGACGTCACAAGGTCACTGATTACGTCACAAGGTCGGTGATTACGTCACAAGGTCACTAATTACGTCACAAGGTCACCAAAAGGTGACTCACCCTCCGCTCCTCCGCCACCCTAGGGTGGGGGAGTATTTTACTATATGTCATTGTACATCCACCCTTCGCTCCTCACCCAGCCTCTGCGCCAGGCTCACCCAGGCGGGTGAGTATTTTACTATATGTCATTGTCCCTGCAGCTCCTCCGCCAACCCCAGTTGGCGTAGTATTTTACTATATCTCTTTGTCCCGCCTGCGCATCCTGCTCACCCACCCTTACCCTCCCGATGCGCCAGGTTGGGAGTATTTTGCTATATGTCATTGTCCCGCCTCACCATCCTGCTCCCGAGTATTTTACTATATGTCATTGTTCCTCACCATCCCCTGCTCCGCCAAAAAACCGACCCAAAAGGGACCTAATATACTACTACTAATAATATTGCGCACTAGTATGCACTTTTTTATTTGGCGTTCACTTGGTGTGCAATTCTTTTGTCTACGAGATTTTATTCTATTTTTAAAACTAAGTATTTAAAATGGATTAAAAATCATGTCTGTAGCCCGAGTTCCCATCCCCTGTTGTTTTATATAAGAATATTTGAGAAAGTTTAGGGGAGATCACTCCCGGTTTATTTAGCATTATAAGACAACTCGTTAGACTAATTTAATACACACACACATACACTCTCTCCCTCACACACACACTTACATATACTTTCACACACATACCTAACTACTGTAATTGCTATTGAAATTATGTATGAATAACTTTATTTAACAAAAAAAAAATCAAAGTATGATACAGCTACACCGTATAGAGCCACTTACCAAACAAGGTGTGGATCAGCAGAAAGAACAGCGCAGTTAACACAAGTTTCATGGTTACACAAAGTTCCTGTGTGGTAGCGACGGAGAATTTTGTTTGATTGTGTACTCTATCGGGCTTGTTTGGACTTTATAAACGGTACCACAGATACACGTGACAGACAAGAATAGTTATAAAAAGATTGATGAACTTGTCCCAAAACTGGCATAAAAATAATTAAAACGGCATTAAGTGCAAAGATAAGGTCGTGGACTCTTACGAGTATAAATATGGGATGTTTTTGTTCATTGTGTCAGTATGTTAGGGTTAGGTAATGTTTTAAATAATCTGCTTGAATGTCACCCAAAAAAGTGTCTAATGGCTTTTGTATCAGAAAGTTGTAATGTTTTAAATAATCTGCTTGAATGTCACCCAAACAAGTGTCTAATGGCTGTTGTATCAGAAAGTGTTGTAATGTTTTAAATAATCTGCTTGAATGTCACCCAAACAAGTGTCTAATGGCTGTTGTATCAGAAAGTGTTGTAATGTTTTAAATAATCTGCTTGAATGTCACCCAAACCAGTGTCTAATAGCTTTTGTATCAGAAAGTGTTGTAATGTTTTAAATAATCTGCTTGAATGTCACCCAAACAAGTGTCTAATAGCTTTTGTATCAGAAAGTGTTGTAATGTTTTAAATAATCTGCTTGAATGTCACCCAAACAAGTGTCTAATGGCTGTTGTATCAGAAAGTGTTGCAGCCCAACACCGCTGGAGACAGGGTTGGCGTATGGTGGTTGCTACAGTCCTAACACACGGGTTGGTACTTCAGTTGCCTAGCTAGGAATTGGTCATAGTGTTTGAATATATTTTTTATCAACACATAAAATGCTATCAAAGAAATAATGAACGTAGCTAAACTTATGAAAACATACTACGGCTATGTTATACAAAAAATGTCTCCAATGTAATCATGGGTGTTTTTTATACTGGTGAGTGTATACAATAAGTTGGTAAGGAAAAAAATCAGGTGACAAAAAAAGAAAGATTAAAACATAAGCAAAGACATTGACTTTTAAACTAAGCATATGACTGCTAAAATAACTGGTGAATCAAAAGACAATATTTCGATATGTTTAGCCTTGTATAAGGTGAACTGTTCTTGAACTTATAGGATCATCCAAGGACAGCGACCCCACAGTCACAACGAATAACATCTTCAACTTGCTGGTTGTTCGATGAAAGCATGTATGTTCTATTCCATAAACATTTGCTTGCTAATCCGTGTTTTACTTTCTCGTAGACAGTATAGAGGAAGTATTGCAATCGTGCACGAAAATCACATGAAATTTTGACAGTTTTCAACGTTTTACCCCTCAGTGCTTCATCATATACGGAGGATGTGTGACTTATTTTAATCGGGCAAAATTTATAAATGCAGATTTATCAAATTTTCGGCGTTCTAATCGAAAAAAACTGGGATTTGCTGTTCTGTCCGTATGTCTGTGTGTATGTGTGTCTGTGAACACAATAACTTGAGTACCGTTACAGCTAGGTTGATGAAATTTTATATATAAGTATTATATCAAATTTATAGTTCTGTATCAATTTTTTTTTCAGCAATTTCCGGTAAATGGAAGCGGGACTTATTATACTTTCAATTTTTCAAAAGCCTATGACTTGATTAATGTTCCAGATAGATACATGGAATTTCTCCGCCTTCTATCAAATTTTTAGTAATTTCCGTTGACCACAAGTAGTACTTGACGCTATTTCCGATTTCTCAAAAAACGCATATGAATTTATAAAGTACTAATAATATTTTGCACTATGATACACATATTGTTTGCCGTTCAATTGATGTGCAATTCTTTTTTCTACGAGATTCTATTCTATTTTAAAAAGTTTAAGTAATTAAAATGGATTAAAAATCATGTCTATATCCCGGGTTGACATCGCCCAAGTGTTATAAGAATATTCGAGAATGTTGAGGGGAGATCACTCCCGCTTAATTTAAATCTACATCGTTCTCAAAGTAAGCTGAGTACTTGATTGTATGACAGGAAATTACTTAAACAGTATAGACACATTGCACAGTAAATTAACAATTCTGTTCTTAATTATCAAATAAATGTATATTAAGTAATGTATGTGAATTAAATTTTAGGTTTAATCACTTTTTTTTATGGTGTCAATCTTTCAGTGATTCATACACAAGTACAGAAACATGCTAGCGCACACACCACTTTGGATGACAACATAAAATAATAAAAGCTACAAGAACACAGGTCAGGAGTGATATTTATTTGCCAACACCATCACAGATAACAGCGGTCAAGCATTCCAGCGAGTTGGGGTCACTGAGTCCACAGATACAGTTCCTCTTGACCAGAGGGAACAGTCCCGTCTGGCACTGTGAGTGACACACCTGGTCACCGGCAGCACAGGTGCTACATAACGGCTTCAACGTTAGTGACACACCTGGTATGGTGGGAGAACAGGTAAAAGAATATCTAGATAAAGGTTTGTTTGAAAAAGTAAGTTAGTGCTTTAATTTCGGATTTTAAATTTGTTTCCTAATTGTCTTAAAATAACTTATGGTTAAGAAATAAGAATTTGTTTCCTCCACAAATATCACAAAAATGTTTTCTTTATATTAACTTTAAATATTTTTTCTCAAGTACCTGCTCACAAAGATTCAATTGTAAACTAAAAACTAATTATTGGAATCGAACAGACATTGTTTTTATAACTACAAATAATTCGATTATTTCTGATGTAATGTGTAAACAAGGGTTATTTGTTGAATATATTATTTAAGTAGTCGTACATTAAAACAACTTCTAACGTAACCATAAATAAAACTATAGCTCACGTGACATAAACAATGACTCACCCTGGCATGACACACACAGAAACACCAGCATCAAAGACACGATTAGCAGCTTCATGACTCTAAGTTTCCTATGTTAGTTTAGATAAGTGCAGTTTTGTGTTTAAATATACATCGCATGTCGCCATTATGTGCAGAAACTAACGGTCCTCACACCTTAATCAGCAGTACACACAACAAAAATTATTGTTTCACTAGCAGAAAAATCCTAACATGACGCACCGTTAAGTCTAAGCTATCTGGGCGCATTTGTTTGTTGAGACCTTTAAGGATGTGTAATAAGGGGATAAACTGATTTCAGCACTATGGGCCACTGCAATGAGAGCATCGGTAAGCTTTCTTTTATAGCTGTTTTTAGCTGTTTTATAGCTGTGGAGGATGACAGATGACAGAAGGCTTATGGTAATGATAATCTCAGTAGGTTGGACTTAGACAGCAGGCTGTTCTGCTATCTTAGAGAGCAGGTAGTATTGCTGTATTAGACAGCAGTTTGTATAGCTGCATTAGTAAGTTGAACAGCAGACACAAAGTTCAAAATATCTTGAGTCATCTATCCTGGCTAAATCAAAACTATTCGTCCTAAGTTACGTTTAATGAATATCAGATTTCAGATTAAATCCTCAAAGAGTTTTGATTATTTAAACAATTAATGAATAAGAAAACAACTAATTTGTTCTTACACAGTGTGCCACAACTTTAGAATCTCTGGAACCACAGAAGTAATTGTAACAGCCACAGGTCGTCAACACTACAATGGGCTACAAAGATAACGAAGAACTTTCTGTTTTTTAATAATTGTTTTTGTACTTACAATCTTCTGCAGTTGGGTCTACTCCTGTTGTATATTATCTTTCATAATAAATTCGTTGCTCTCCCACTAGATTCAACCATTCCTTCTCTCTGTTGGTTATAAGCTTCAATGATGCGCTTCCAATACTTATTTTCTCACAAAAATTATTTAAAACAGAATAATGAAAATAGGTGCAGTTGGTTAGGAAAATCATAGTCACAAAACCACTAAAATCTAAGGACACAGTTTATCAAAATATGTGAATACACATACTATGAAGGAAGGTTATGGTTTAACTTTTTATGACAGCTAAAGGCAGAACCTACAAATCTTCAAGAAGAAAAACATAAAGAACAAGTAAATAGGGATCTGTGAGTTTGGATGTGCTGAGACGATGATGGGGATGGTCAAACTAAACCTAACCCTCGTATGATGGTATTGGCCAATCAAACTAAACGCTAACCCTCCTATGATGGTATTAGCCAATCAAACTAACCCTCGTATGATGGTATTGGCCAATCAAACTAACCCTAACCGTCCTATGATGGTGATGGTCAAACAAACTACACATAACCTTCCTTTGATGGTTATAACCATCCAAACCAACCCTAACCTAGGGAGAGAGGGACTGTAATGGTGATGGTCTACCATAATAAACAGTGTGTCCTGTATTCTAACCTGTATCATAAACAAGCAATTTGTTAAAGAAAGCCTTTTCTAAACGTTTAATTAACATTATTATTCACCTTGTGTACCATGGTGTGACACAAGGTGATTTGACTTAATATGAAGTCATCTGACCTAACATGACATGACATTAGAATACATATTTAAATTAATGAATTAACCCACAGCCACCCCTAACGACGCCTTAACTCCTTATTATCCGTAATTGTGAGTAGTGCCGGCGCCAGGTTATTTAGCGCCCCAGACAAAACTTATTAAATTCACACAAATTGATTACTAAAACATATGCAAGAGAAGATAATTAATTAGAAGCGACATATTAATTTATTATCAATTGCATACGCCTTGTAAGTACACATCAAAATCAAATTTTACTTGCTTCCTTCGTTGCAATAGTTTAATTCCTTCAACTCCAGTATGCAAGCGTAATAACATTATATTGAAATTGTTGCTAAGTCCACGAGTCTACTTTGTACGTTACGACATAGCCTTCCCCCCCCCCCCCACTTAGAAAAATTTCAAGTGCTTCTTCCCCCCCCCCCTCCCGGGAGAAAAAAGTCTGGGAAAAAAAAACACAGTTCTTGTAGTGTTGGGCTTTCTGCAGACCTCCCAAGGTGAGTTTCAGAACGAAACTTACCGGTTGTAGGCTTGACTGTCTTTAGTTATAATTGTAAAATGTCTATATTGTGTGATCATGTAACGATATTTTTTTTTTGAAAAATAAAAGGTTATAAATGTTATATATTCCAGCCTAAAATTTTTATATATGAATCCCTAAGAAGAGGGTAAACAAATATGAAAAAGACAATTAATTAGATGATTAATTTGCAACTAAGACGATTTTAGACGCATTTGTTGCACTATCTCATAATGTATGTTTACTAACATTAAGTATTGCAATCTACAACGGCTACTGATGTATTTGTTCTTCAACCTGATAAGACTAAAAAAAAACCTACCAAACTATTTTGTTTAGAAGTTCTGCTCTATATAATTTTTACAATAGCAAATAATAACTTAAAGTTGTATTTATAAGTAATCGGTCAACTTAGGGTGCAGGAATTTGAGATGAATGTAAAGTTAAGCAACGAGTTATCTCCCATTCGGAAATACAAATACCAAAATTTCATTCAAGGGTAATAACTTTCACAAGAATAGCTAAATTAACCAAATGTAACTAAGACTTGCTTGAAAAACACAATAAAAAGCTCTAAATTTCATTAGATAATTATTAAAAGAAATTTTTTATACTATCTATGTAATCTTGTAAAAAAATATATTTTACTCATTGACTATTAAATAGTAGGTTTTGTTTGAAAGTCTAAACACTGTAGCTTTATTATAACATACTTTAGGGAATTTTGATAACATAAATGTAGTGTCACATAATCTGATCAACTACTTATCCAAATTTTGGATCCCCGAAATAAAGGGACACCTTTCGAAAAAAATCAAATACTGGTTTTTAAGATATTGCTACAATTAATAATTAAATATTTTTAAAAATTATAATTTAAAACAAAGTTTACGAGGTAGTTATAAATTCCAACCAATATAATATAATATATTAATAATTTAAAGAGTGGTAATATAAATTCCTAAAAAACTAAGATTTTTCAGCTAGAAAACGCCTACCTTTCTTTGTAGTGTGTTCCGTCCTGAATTAAAATAACCTAACTTAAGATAAATATGAAGAAAATACAATCATTTATAAACGCATGCCTCAGAAAGATCATGCGAATTCGCTGGCCTAAAACCATCAGAAATGATGTTCTATATCTATGGCAACGGACAAATCAACTGCCAGTTGAAGTAGAGATCCTCCAGAGAAAATGGAAATGGATTGGCCACACACTCAAGAAACCTGTATCCAGCATAACAAGACAGGCCCTCACCTGGAATCCACAGGGCAGGAGGAGGAGAGGCAGACCAAGAGAGACCTGGAGACGTGACCTGGAAGAAGACACCAAGAAGATTGGATACACATGGGGACAGTTGGAGAGACTAGCCCAGGACAGAGACGTCTGGAAAGCTCTTGTCAGCGGCATATGTCCCAGGAGGGGCGATAGGGAAACCTAACCTAACCTAAACTAACTCCAAATCAACAACGATTTCACTGGACCTACTACTATACGTTAACAGTTAAAACAATTCGATACCTGAATACCACAAGACTCGATAGCCCCGAACTCCAGAACTACGATACTTCATCACCTACATTCTCATTTCTCTACTACCGATCAGATTACACTAGACCAGGGGTCGGCAATCTTTCAAGACAGAAGAGCCAAAAGTTACAATTTACAAGATTTCCCAGTTTTTAAAGAGCGACAAATATTCTGTTATTTGATTAGAATTAGCCCCCCCCCCCCCCCCCCGAACGAAATGAAATTTATATAGAAAATATATACTTTTAACAGTGTCAGCGCACCCAAAAATTTCAAATCCCCCCTCCCCCGGAGAAAAAAATGTCTGAAAGAAACAATGGCTACAGCACGGCTGTTGCGCTGAGCCTCCTGGTACCCAAGCGGCTGTCAGATGTCCGTGTACTCTCTACTCCACCTATTCTCACTGTTCTATGGTGAGTGATTTTATCCTGTTTTAAGGTCTTTTTCTTTACAGTAAGTTTTGAAAAGTAAAACAATATAATTATTAATATTTTTTCATGGAACTGGAGAGCCTCATCTTGACATCAATAGAGCCGCATGAGGCTCGCGATTCGCATGCGGCTCGCGAGCCGCAGGTTGCCGATCCCTGCACTAGACTACAACTACACGACCACAGCCTTATAAAAAATACGACACTTTAACACTTCGATACTTTCCTTCGAAACCATATCAGCAACAGCCTTCCGCCGTTACTCCCAAATCTAAACGATCCATCAAAACTTACCAAACAAGTGACAATACTTTGAACACCCCTTCATTACAAAACTCTATACACCAGAACAGATTTCTAATTCAAAGTCAGAGAAAATAAGAATTACAAGCACTATTAAAAGCCGAAATTGCACGTGTTTTGGAACGCCCCGTGATGCGCTGGAGCAATCACTAAATAAACATTGAAATTAGATAACCGTTTTAAATTTAAATTACGAACTTATTTAATCGTTTTCTACATCAATTATGTGACACGAAAATAAAAAGGTTAAGTGACTGGTAAAAAACGCCCCAACCTTTCCAAATTAGGGAAGTGGGGTTGCATTTTCACCATCGCGAATAAATATAGGCCTATATAGACCTAATTTTGGGGTGAGGGTGCATAATTGAAAGTTCGTCCTGGGCGCCGAAATAGATCGTTACTCCTTTCTATATTACCATCCATAGTTTATAAAAAATAATCAAAGTTATTAATTATTAGGTACTTTTTGAAACTAGCGATTAAACCTTATTGCGCCCCCTAAGGATGGCGCCCTAGGCGACCGCCTAGTTCACCTTATAGGTAGCGCCGGCCCTGATTGTGAGGCTAATTGTCATGCTATTAATTATATTAGACCCCTTTACTTCTTTAAGCTGAATGCGAGCCGTTGAGATGTCCTTTCGTCACAGCAGAAACTAAATAGATTTTATCTTGCAATTATCATGCGAGTTAAGCAAAGAATATTTCTAAAGTTATCGTTTAATCAGAGATTTTTGTAAATTTTTTATGAATATTTATCATTGAGGGAGTAAATAAGAATTAAATCATTTTACAATTATTAATCAATGTTTAAAAATAATTTTAAATCTTTGTTTTATTCCGTCCTCATCAATTCCCATGGACAACACAAAAACACAACACAAGGGTTAAATCAGATCAATGAGATCAATGAAATCAATGAAATCAATGAAATCAATGAAATCAATGAAATCAATGAAATCAATGAGATCAATGAAATCAATGAAATCAATAAAATCAATGAAATCAATAAGCAATTATTGCAGCATTGAGATTTATTTGCCCACCCCCTCACAGACATCGACCATCAGACATTCCAGCGAGTTGGGGTCACTGAGTCCACAGATACAGTTCCTCTTGACCAGCGGGAACAGTCCCGTCTGGCACTGTGACAGACACACCTGGTCACCGACAGCACAGGTGCTACATAACGGCTTTACTGTGAGTGACACACCTGGTGGGGTGGGAGAACAAGGCAAGGGTTAAATCATGACGGTTAGATAATGTTTAATCGAGCTTCATTCATCATCATCATCATCATCATCATCATCATCATCATCATCATCATCATCATCATCACCATCATCATCATCATCATCACCATCATCATCATCACCATCATCATCATCATCATCATCATCACCATCATGACCATCATCATCATCATCATCATCATCATCATCACCATCACCATCATCATCATCATCATCATCATCATCACCATCATCATCATCATCATCATCATCATCATCATCACCATCACCATCATGACCATCATCATCATCATCATCATCATCACCATCATCAGCATCATCATCATCACCATCATCATCATCATCATCATCATCATCATCATCATCATCATCATCATCACCATCATTATCATCATCATCATCAGCATCATCATCATCATCATCATCATCACCATCATCATCACAGACTCAAAAAAAACAAACGCCAAATCAAGAAATCGCAAATCTCAAACAGCGAAAATTTATAATTTTGAAATTTGCTCTTTTAAAAAAATGTATGCAATTAAAGTGTATGTAAATTTTTACTATAATGTATGAACATGAAACTGTTCCCTGCTTAGCTGGACAGGTTTCCCCTATTTGCTTAGAGCTGGCTTCACCATACAGCCCACTCGCAATGATTGATACGTCACAGGAAAGACAAGTTTTTAAAAAAAATTGTGATATAAAAAAATTTGGACTTCCTTTTTTGTTTGAACAAAATTTGCATTGCTTTAATTGACTAGAAATCAGAAAAAATTATAACTTAAATATCGGCCACTCACTTTTTAAATATCGTCCCCAAATGAAAACTATTCTATAAATTATATAAACAGGTACTCACCCTGACATGCAAAAACAAAGAGAAGCAACAAAGATGCGACCAACAGCTTCATGTTAATAAGTTTTCTGTTAGATTGGATAAGTACAACCAAACTTAGATTTCTTTCAGTACAAGTAGCATATAGTCAGCGACTTTCGTTATAAACTAGCACGGTTCTCAAATCATTCGCCGTTCAGTTTAAAACAGAATGAAAGCAGAACCAAAGTATTTGATGAAGCTACTGGCACCCCAACCACAGTTGTCTACGCCAGAATGTTTAGAATCCCTGGCATCACTGACGTAAGTGTAACAGGTCGTCATGATGGCAGTTCTTGACAGAGATAAAAAAAATGGCTGGTTTACCAGATGGTGGATCCCATCTGATGTGTGGGGTCGTGGTTTCTAACACATATCATTATAGATATTGTAGGGTCCGCTTATTTTTGTGTGGGGTCATAACCATCTGTTGTGTGTGTGTGGTGGTGGGGGGGGGGGGTCACGCAAATATGTTGCATGCAGTGTTTCTTCTAGACTTTTTTCACCGGGGGGGGGGGGGGAAAGAGGTGGTATACATTTTCCGTGGCAGGGAGGGGGGGGGGGGGGGGCGGCCACTGGTAAAAGTATATATTTTCTATTTAAATTCCATTTCTTTTTTTTTTTGGGGTGGGGGAGGGGGGGGGCGGTAGACTTTCTTCGGGGTGGGGGACCAGATTCCCCCCCCCCCCCGAAGAGATGCCTGGAAGAAACTCTGGTTGCATGGGGGGAGGGACCAATCGTTTTTGTGTGTTCGCAGGTTCTCACAGATTTCTGCCGAGTGGATGTCTCATCCATGTTAGTTTATTTTTATTCGACTTTTTAAGGAAACTTCTAGTCCTAGGTAAATCAAAACCTTCATTAACGAGATAAATTATATCATTAATTAACTTCTAACACAAAAAATGATAACAATTGTGACAGCCGAACACATACGACGTAAAAATGTACCGTCACGATTATAAACCAAGTCAAGTATAGGTAAAGAAACTGAGTGTGGCTTTATTTGACCACCCCTCACAGACATTGACAAAATACACTATCAACATCTCATAACTTTGAGGATAACAGAATTTTTTTGACTACTGAAGATCAGGAGTAGATCTATCTACTTTTGTTTAATGTTCACTAAAGAACTTCCGCTCTAAGACTACCAACAAAGACACATTTACTACCAACAAAGACACATTTACGACAACATACACCACACGTTAAACCACATCAACAAGAACATGGTAAAGCTTTAAAACGTATTGTTTATTTATTTGCCCACCCCCTCACATGGGTTTCCAGACAGACACTCTAATGACGTGGGGTCACTGATACCACAGAAGCAGTTCCTCCTGACCAGAGGGAACAGTCCAGTCTGGCACTGTGACAGACACACCTGGTCACCGATAGCACAGGTGCTACATAACGGCTTCACTGTGAGTGACACACCTGGTGGGGTGGGAGAACAAGGTAAATCAAAGTCTACATCAACAAATCTGTTAGCGGGTAAAATAAATGACTTAATCTTCAATCTCTAAGTGTTGAGAATGTTTATGAAACTAGTCTATAAGTGACATTTATACATTAAAGTTATCCAACACGTGACATTAACAATGACTCACCCTGACATGACATACACAGAAACACCAGCATCAAAGACACGATTAGCAGCTTCATGACTGTAAGTTTACAACTTTGGTTAAATTAAGTGCAGTCACACTTAAAGGCTTTGTTTAAATATACGTCGCATATCTGTTTTGGAAACTAGCGGTTCTCACATCATAACTTGCTGTAACGACTGAACGTGCATATCCAGGGGACTTATTTCCATTTTTTACAGGATTTAGAGGCGACATTCTCAATAGTAAAACATTTTGCTTTTATAATACAAATATGAGTTGCGGTCGCTTATATTCAAAAGTAAATATTATTCTACATGAGTGCTCTCTGCTTTCTAATTACTAATTGTAGACGTTTAAAAATGATTACCAGCTATAATTGAATTACTGACTTCCAATGAAAAAAAAGTTGGCGTATTTTATCATTGCATCCAATTGCATCGAAATGGTAGGGCTCTAATAGAGAATTTGGAATATTTTTTAATTTAGCAACGTTATTACGACGTATTTATTTTAAAAAAATCATCGTTGTGTTTTTTCGAGTAATATTTGTAATTTTTTAAATCAACAGGTTAGGTCAAGTAAGCTGTTTTTTTACAAAGTCGAAGACACTTCGGTATTTTCTCGTTTCCCACATAATAAGGAACATAGAGTGTATCAGTTATCACAAATGCGTGCTAATTTAATCGATTTTTTACAGCTACACAACCAAATATGTACCGTTCGCATGGTGCACGAAAATAGTGATGTTTCTGCTAATATAGACAATCACAGTTTATATTTCCAAGTTGATATAATCCAAATATGACGAGGTAACAGATGGTTGTTTAAAAGTAACTGGAAATGTAGGCTCGTTAAAATATAATTTCAAATACAAACTTATGTTGCGTTCAAGACTAAACTCCCGATATCTCTGATCTAACCCATTATATGGGTTAGGTCTAAGTTTACTGTGTGTGTGATGGGGTCGTTGGGTATGTGAGGTGACAAGACCACGTTCTGGGCTAGTCTTTCATATCTAAAAATTTGAGAATCCCTTAGTTTCAGTTTACAATCACTGCAGTTATTGTAACAGGTCACCTTAATACACTGGTTGACTAAGATAATAAGAGGTCATGTTGCTCCTTAGTGACGTCGTGAGTTTCTTTCTAGGTAGACACGATCAGTGACCGCACGTTTTATTCTTGTACGGTACCCTCACTAGATCAGTGACCACACGTTTTATTCTTGTACGGTACCCTCACTAGATCAGTGACCACACGTTTTATTCTTGTACTGTCCACTCACTAGATCAGTGACCGCAAGTTTTATTCTTGTACTGTCCCCTCACTAGATCAGTGACCGCAAGTTTTATTCTTGTACGGTACCCTCACTAGATCAGTGACCACACGTTTTATTCTTGTACTGTCCCCTCACTAGATCAGTGACCGCACGTTTTATTCTTGTACGGTACCCTTCACTAGTTCAGTGACCGCACGTTTTATTCTTGTACTGTCCCCTCAATAGATCAGTGACCGCACGTTTTATTCTTGTACTGTCCCCTCACTAGATCAGTGACCGCACGTTTTATTCTTGTACGGTACCCTCACTAGATCAGTGACCGCACGTTTTTTTCTTGTACTGTCCCCTCACTAGATCAGTGACCGCACGTTTTATTCTTGTACGGTACCCTCACTAGATCAGTGACCGCACGTTTTTTTCTTGTACTGTCCCCTCACTAGATCAGTGACCGCAAGTTTTATTCTTGTACTGTCCCCTCACTAGATCAGTGACCGCACGTTTTATTCTTGTACGGTACCCTCACTAGATCAGTGACCGCACGTTTTTTTCTTGTACTGTCCCCTCACTAGATCAGTGACCGCACGTTTTATTCTTGTACTGTCCCCTCACTAGACTTTTGTTCCAAACGAGGATCATACGGCAGATTTCCCATGACAAGTCTGGCCCTATGGTTTACTGACATTGCTTTAGTCATCACTGCCACCGTATAAGACTAGGGTTTCAACACAACGTAATCGCTTTCACACGACCCCTGACCTCTGCACTACTAAATTTTCCACCCACTCCCATCAGCTACCCGTGGGTGTCGGACTAATTCCACTCACCCGTCCGGCAGACTCATTGATGTTGACCAGTCAAGTATAGTCCTGATGGGTCCTGTCAAGCATAGTCCTGATGAGTCCTGTCAAGTATAGTCCTGATGGGTCCTGTCAAGTATAGTCCTGATGGGTCCTGTCAAGTATAGTCCTGATGGGTCCTGTCAAGTATAGTCCTGATGGGTCCTGTCAAGAATAGTCCTGATGGGTCCTGTCAAGTATAGTCCTGATGGGTCCTGTCAAGTGTAGTCCTGCTGGGTCCTGTCAAGTATAGTCCTGATGGGTCCTGTCAAGTATAGTCCTGATGGGTCCTGTCAACTATAGTCCTGCTGGGTCCTGTCAAGTATAGTCCTGATGGGTCCTGTCAAGCATAGTCCTGATGGGTCCTGTCAAGTATAGTCCTGATGGGTCCTGTCAAGTATAGTCCTGATGGGTCCTGTCAAGTATAGTCCTGATGGGTCCTGTCAAGTATAGTCCTGATGGGTCCTGTCAAGTATAGTCCTGATTGGTCCTGTCTAGTATAGTCCTGATGGGTCCTGTCAAGTATAGTCCTGATGGGTCCTGTCAAGCATAGTCCTGATGGGTCCTGTCAAGTATAGTCCTGATGGGTCCTGTCAAGTATAGTCTTGATGGGTCCTGTCAAGTATAGTCCTGATGGGTCCTGTCAACTATAGTCCTGCTGGGTCCTGTCAAGTATAGTCCTGATGGGTCCTGTCAAGCATAGTCCTGATGGGTCCTGTCAAGTATAGTCCTGATGGGTCCTGTCAAGCATAGTCCTGATGGGTCCTGTCAAGTATAGTCCTGATGGGTCCTGTCAAGTAAAGTCCTGATGGGTCCTGTCAAGTATAGTCCTGATGGGTCCTGTCAAGTATAGTCCTGATGGGTCCTGTCATGTATTGTCCTGATGGGTCCTGTCAAGTATAGTCCTGATGGGTCCTGTCATGTATAGTCCTGATGGGTCCTGTCAAGTATAGTCCTGATGGGTCCTGTCAAGTATAGTCCTGATGGGTCCTGTAATGTATAGTCCTGATGGTTCGTGAATTTTTTAATTAATTCAAGGCTGTAAAACAGCGTGCAATTACTCGTAGTTTTTAGAAATTGGTATTATTCATTTTGTACAAACTGTAATTATTTTAAAATCACCCCACTTATTACATTACAGTGGAATAAAATTGCATGCTTAAAATGTTCACGGCTGATGAGAAACTGAAAGACTCTTCCGGTGCTGAATGCTCTACTACTATTCTGTCTAATATAGTAGAGATATACGTTGATCTTCTTTTGACAGTCAAAGGTAAATGCGAAGCTACACGACATACGGTATACATTCTGCTAATGCATTTCATTTGAGTTTTATTCAAGTCATTACAAAAAAAGAAAAACACTGATATCATGATTATAATTGTTTGTTGTTTATTGCAGCTTCAGCTAATTCCATAGATACCGAAAACTTTCCGCAAGTAGCCAATGTCTACAGGAGAACTACTCCAGGTTACCCTGCCTATAAAGTTCAGGGTGGGTACTGGGGCGTGCAGTGTGTCTATGACCTACTAGCCTATGATGGGCAGGGTGGGTATGGTGGCCACGTTGTAGTAGATGCAGTGCTGCAGGCAAAAGGTGTCGCCTTGAGCGCAGTACACGCAGTCGGTGGTTTCAAACAGGAAGCCTGGGGAGATGGGAACACATTTTATTGTTGTTTTAACAGACAGCCTTGAGTAAAAACTTAAGTTCAACGTAAATATACTTTAAGAAAATTAAGGGAGTTACTTCAAAAGGCGAATACCATTAATAAAAGAATGGATAAAATTACAATCATGAGACTGATAGTAAAGATGGGGACTAGCCAGGAAGCTCGGGGTTCGAACCTGGACCAGCCCATCCTTTCTGTAAGACGTGTCATGTCTGAGAGCCACTAGTGGGTTATTCTAACCACACACTACGTGTATGGTGTGAAATACGTTGCAAGCTTGAATAAAACAGTAACCATATCACCTTACCTTCGCATAAAACCACAGCCATCGCAAACATGACAATCAGTGCCAAGACATTCATCTTAAAGTTTGGCCGTGCGACGCTCACAAAAACAGGTTGGACAATTCTAAATGTGCTGCGACCGTTTATACGGAGATTTAAATTTAGAAAAAACTAGTTTCAAGACAGTAAAAGAGGTTTTAATTAAAGATAAAGTTAACCTGATTAGAGGTTTTAATTAAAGATAAAGTCGGCCTAATTAGTGTCGTGCCGACGATGCGGACAATGAAAAACTGAATTTCCTAGCTCTCAACTATCCTTTATTAACATTTAGAGTAGTGAAAGATGATTTTTCGGCCTCACAAATTTACCTATTTAAACAACTCAAAGCATTTTGTTGTTTAATATGAGTGAAGTAGATTCAACATAACTTTTTAAAAACATGTGCAAGTATAGTTAGTGTATGGCATTAAAGTTGGAGCATCAGCATTTAAATGTCAAATGTCATTTTACTATTTCTCCTTTCCTAGTCAATTCTATTTTTGTCAGATAACTTTAACTAGAGAATTTCTGTCTTCTAGCTAACTGAGTTCATAGAAAAAATTTGCTTATTGCTTATACGATGGTGTAAGGAGTTGATGTTGGAAGTTTTCTGAGACCGTGAATTATTTCTACTTTAAAGATTTCCAGCCAGTTCCAGACAGATATAAGGAAGTGGCTAGAGTCAGCTGGGCATCGACACATGAGATCTTGTGCTGACAGAAAACAAAATGTACTTTTCACGAGGGAACAATATTTATTGGTTTTTTTAAATAGCAAATCTATGAAGGTAAAAAAAAAACAATTTTGTTTTCTATCAGCACAACTTCTGATGTGTCGATGTCCAGCTCGCTCTAGCCAGTGACCGATTGCTGTCTGGAACTGGTTGGAACCCTGGACATTCTTATATATACAACATCTCTTCCATGACGTTATGTCTAAAGATAACCACGAGCCCATGTTAAAGATAATAATTAGATCATCTTCAACTAAACCACACTAAATCAGCGCAGATGGCAACATTAGGATACATCAATTGTACGAGATAAACACACACCGTGTGAACAAACTTTACGTTCACTGAATGTAAATCTTACAACAGTTCACAAGATAACAAATATACACTTCAGTCGAAACATATGGTAACACATGTTATTTTTAAATTAACAATTTTGTTTTATTTATTTTTATTGCGTTTGTCAAGAGTTTAAAAAAAATCATATTTAAAGTTTGACTTCAGAAATCACTGGTTGATTGGGAACGGTTATTGCTGATTGGCTCGGCCAATTAGTAGAGAACTTCCCTGGGTTGGGAGAATTGTGTACAGACAGTTGCTGAGACAATAGATGTCGCCCTGAGCACACGTCAGGCAGTCAAATTTTTCCATGAAAAAACCTGCCGGAAATATTGTTGGAATAAACGTAAATATAGTGGTGTAGCCATACAAACTACAGGTGTGTAATGTAACTTCATTTTTCGAAGGTCGAAGTAAAAAATAAAATGTATTTAATGAATGAAAGTAAATCAACCCCTAATATTACCTTCAGTTGCAATCAGCACCAACAGCAAGACAAATACGAGTAAAAATTGCTTCATTTTGTGCGGGAGTTTCGTGTCAGTGTAAAGATCAGAGAGAGAGAGATGTGTTAGAGCGTGTAGCGATGGTGGGCTAAGGGACCGGATGTTTCTTTTAATTCAGTAGATAGTAGCACCACGGCCTGTGTCATTGGTCGGAGCACATTGCACATGATTTTTTAAAAACTTGACGGTCAATTTTACCATAGTTCAGTGTTCTAAAAGTTGGATAAGTTAGTGCGTGTATGAATAAATGAAGTAAAATGATTACTCAAATCTTTGCTCATTAGACGTGGGGACAAAAATCACAATGTTTTATTATAATTATTTAAATTTTTGCTTCAAAATTGTAGAAAATCTGGGGGGGGGGGGTTAAGTATTCGTTTATTGTATGAACTATCAAGTATATTCTCTTGGGCTGACTAAGTAGGTCTGAGTCCTTGCTAGACAATCTCCTTTTTGGACAGTCTCAGTGCTGAAGTGTGATGGGCTAGCACCGTGCTAGACCGTCTCCATGCTGGACTGTCACCGTGATGGGCTGTCACCGTGCTGGGCTGTCACCGTGATGGGCTGTCACCGTGCGGCTGTCACCGTGATGGGCTGTCACCGTGATGGGCTGTCACCGTGATGGGCTGTCACCGTGCTGTACCTTCACCGTGATGGGCTGTCACCGTGCTAGACCGTCTCCATGCTGGACTGTCACCGTGATGGGCTGTCACCGTGATGGGCTGTCACCGTGATGGGCTGTCACCGTGCTAGACCGTCTCCATGCTGGACTGTCACCGTGATGGGCTGTCACCGTGCTGGGCTGTCACCGTGATGGGCTGTCACCGTGCTGTACCTTCACCGTGATGGGCTGTCACCGTGCTGTACCTTCACCGTGATGGGCTGTCACCGTGCTGTACCTTCACCGTGATGGGCTGTCACCGTGCTGTACCTTCACCGTGATGGGCTGTCACCGTGCTAGACCGTCTCCATGCTGGACTGTCACCGTGATGGGCTGTCACCGTGCTGGGCTGTCACCGTGATGGGCTGTCACCGTGCGGCTGTCACCGTGATGGGCTGTCACCGTGCGGCTGTCACCGTGATGGGCTGTCACCGTGATGGGCTGTCACCGTGATGGACTGTCACCGTGCTGGGCTGTCACCGTGATGGGCTGTCACCGTGATGGGCTGTCACCGTGATGGGCTGTCACCGTGATGGGCTGTCACCGTGCTAGACCGTCTCCATGCTGGACTGTCACCGTGATGGGCTGTCACCGTGCTGGGCTGTCACCGTGATGGGCTGTCACCGTGCGGCTGTCACCGTGATGGGCTGTCACCGTGCTGAACCTTCACCGTGATGGGCTGTCACCGTGATGGGCTGTCACCGTGATGGGCTGTCACCGTGCTGGGCTGTCACCGTGCTGGGCTGTCACCGTGCTGGGCTGTCACCGTGATGGGCTGTCACCGTGATGGGCTGTCACCGTGATGGGCTGTCACCGTGATGGGCTGTCACCGTGCTGTACCTTCACCGTGATGGGCTGTCACCGTGCTGTACCTTCACCGTGATGGGCTGTCACCGTGATGGGCTGTCACCGTGATGGGCTGTCACCGTGATGGGCTGTCACCGTGATGGGCTGTCACCGTGCTGGGCTGTCACCGTGTTGGGCTGTCACCGTGCTGTACCTTCACCGTGATGGGCTGTCACCGTGCTGGGCTGTCACCGTGATGGGCTGTCACCGTGCGGCTGTCACCGTGATGGGCTGTCACCGTGCTGTACCTTCACCGTGATGGGCTGTCACCGTGCGGCTGTCACCGTGATGGGCTGTCACCGTGCTGTACCTTCACCGTGATGGGCTGTCACCGTGATGGGCTGTCACCGTGATGGGCTGTCACCGTGATGGGCTGTCACCGTGATGGGCTGTCACCGTGCTGGGCTGTCACCGTGTTGGGCTGTCACCGTGCTGTACCTTCACCGTGATGGGCTGTCACCGTGCTGGGCTGTCACCGTGATGGGCTGTCACCGTGCGGCTGTCACCGTGATGGGCTGTCACCGTGCTGTACCTTCACCGTGATGGGCTGTCACCGTGATGGGCTGTCACCGTGATGGGCTGTCACCGTGCTAGACCGTCTCCATGCTGGACTGTCACCGTGATGGGCTGTCACCGTGCTGGGCTGTCACCGTGCTGGGCTGTCACCGTGATAGGCTGTCACCGTGATGGGCTGTCACCGTGATGGGCTGTCACCGTGATGGGCTGTCACCGTGATGGGCTGTCACCGTGCTGGGCTGTCACCGTGCTGTACCTTCACCGTGATGGGCTGTCACCGTGCTGTACCACATGAATCTTTAAACGAGAGCCCCCTCTAATGTCATAAACAAAGCATTAAATAAGCGGGTAGATACATTTTAATAAAACCTACCGATTGCTATTGTTATTTCTAAGTTATAATATAATTTAATTTAAAACAAAACCAAAACCAAATACACAAACTATGTTCTTTTGTTTATTTACAATGCATATAAAATTACTAATTACAAATATATAGAACATAAAACTAATGCTCTGTATAATCAAATCCGTTTAAATATGCACATCAGCTATATCCATTTACATCTAATTCTCAAACTGTCAAAAACTACAAACCACTTGTCATCCCTAAACCCCCGAATACTAGGATATCAAAATTTACATTCCTATTGACCAAATTTTGCCACCTCTAACCCTAGGGTGCCTAAAACTACATCCCATAGACATTAAAGGCTAGAATGCCTTACGGTAAGGTGGTTTGGATGTGATGCTAAGATAAATGATTGGCCAAGCTTTGTGTCAAGGCGCTATAGTATAAAATTAGATGCATCAAAAACATTTTCAAGAATACATTTCTCATTATTTTAAAAGTGATAATATAATCTCAAAATATACATTTATATACAAGAATATCAGTGTAGAGTATTTTAATGTAAAAACGAACTTAAGTAATAAAAGTAATAGAACAAAACCTGAACAGCCACATACTCACGTACAGGTCAGCGCATACAGACACGCAACCAGCATCACATATAAACACCACATAACCACCACATTTTCTCATATATTTGTCTTAAAGTTCTGTCCCATTTAGAACCAATATAAAAATAAGAAATTTATTTACAGTTATCTTTCCTAGTCGACATAATTATCTTAAAATGTTAGTAGAAGTAGTAATCCACGTATATCCAAAGTATATCCTACATGTAAATGAGACATTTTGTCATATCTTACTTCAAGGCACGGTTGTTTGTTTACTTATTTTGGAAATAAAATTCATATTCTACCTTCCGTAAATAAATGTAAATTGTATTACTAACAGATTTAAAAAATAATTTGAAATCAAATTAGCCTCAATCTTCATGAGAAGTTACCAGTTTACAAAATCAAGTTTAAAATTTAGCGGTATTATGATCAGTTTCAAAATATCTCAGTACGTTCCAAATATATCAGACAAGCATTTTGTGTTGGCATTTTCCTGTGCTTTTGAAATAGTGTACAAGGTCATTGGGTCAACTTTTACAGAATGATAAATGCGTCATTCACCCTTGCCATTCGCACAACTTGATTTGATCGAGATTTGCTATCACAGAGAAAAAGATTCATAGTTTTTATCGTCATGACGTCACCCCCACGCCTGCGTAGTGTTGCCATGACGTCATCCCACACCTGCTATGACGTCACCCGACGCCTGTGTTGTTGGCCGTCTTCTTTCCGCTGGGACTTTTACCGGAAATGACCTTCTGGATGGCCTGCCGGAATTTGGTGCTGGAGCTCGACTTCCTCTGGCGCACGTCTCTGAACGTCTTCGTCCTTCTCCACACGTTGTACAGGTCCGTGAAGATTTCAGAAACCTAAGAAAACGAAACAATTTCTTACATTTAAAAAAACCCCTTTAAACTGAAGCCTTTAATATTAAAAATACTTAAGTCATAGTTTGGGCAAAATAAAGGTAAAATTGACCAACGATACACCTTTGTAACTATCTAATGTACATATTTGACTGCTGAAAAGAAAATGTATGGCTGTCCCAATTTCAATGCATCAAATAAAAAAGTTGTTTCATAGCCACTTTGAATGTGTGAACTGTGTTCACTTTGTAATTAGTGTTGTTGGCGCTATGGTTTTAAACTTTTTTTTTCATTCTAGATAATACAAACTTATGAGTAAGCTCCGTATCATCGAAAATTTTAGAAAAATGCACACCGAATTTTAAAGAAAAAAGTGTTTTCCTAATGCCGGATTTAGCGCGGGTGGTCAGTGAAGAAGTGCTTAATTTATTTTTAACACGTTTTTCTTAACTCAGCTTCGCGTTTGTTTGTTTGTTTGGATGTTTGTTGTTAAAATTGACATCGAAAATTAGCCCACTTCTGATTGCTCTATAGACCTGAAATTTGGCATGCATGCTACTTTCGCCTAACAATTTCAGATGCAATCATAAAAACTAGCAATTAGTGACCGTAATTAGCTTAATTTAATTACGCCCCAAGGACCATAAAATTGAGGACATGATTTCTAAAGATACCGACAAGACTAGAGGCCTATTGATACAGTTACTTCGGCCCCAATCGATGTGAGCGCGCTGGCCGTGATCGTATAGTGGTTACTACTTCGCGTTGTGGCCGCGACAACCCAGGTTCGAATCCTGGTCGCTCAAGATTTTGAGTCCGTGTATTTATAAACACTTTTTTAAAAACCACGTGTTTCATGTGTAGCAACGGACTAAAAAGGAGAAAATAAAATACTTAAAAAAAAATTAAAAAAAACCCACGTTTTTTATGTGTAGCAACGGACTAAAAAGGAGAACGGACACGGTAACACATTGTTAACGGTGACACGGTTGGTACGCTGGGCATGCTAAAATACACATAAACACGTTTTTCCTTAACTCAGCTTCGCGTTTATTTGTTTGTTTATGGGAGATTTGATCACGTGATTCGTGAGTAGATCTCCACGCCAGCAACGTAAATTACACCCTTTCTCTGTTTAAAGCGTATCGGTCGCTCAAGATTTTTTTAGTCCGTGTATTTAAAAACACTTAGTCAAGTCATACTTAATCAAGTGATTAGATAAAGTAGAAAATAAACTATATAAAAAACTTTTTAAAAACCACGTTTTTCATGTGTAGCAACGGACTAAAAAGGAGAAAATAAAATACTTAAAAAAAACTTTTTAAAAAACCACGTTTTTCTTGTGGACTAAAAAGTAGAAAATAACTATTTACATACATTTGATGACAAAAAACGTGGGTCGGGCAGATGGGTCGGGAAATTTGATGGTGAACGTACCCACGTTTTTTGTCATCAAATGTATGTAAATAGTTATTTTCTACTTTTTAGTCCACAAGAAAAACGTGGTTTTTTAAAAAGTTTTTTTTAAGTATTTTATTACCTGTGGCAGCTGATTCCAGTCACAGGCCGACACCTCGTAGAACCTGCACCCCATCTCATTGGCCAGCTCCTGACCTTGAACCGCCGTGACCTGCCGGTCGTACACTAGGTCGGCCTTGTTACCCACCAGCGCACACACCAGACCCGCGGACCGGCGCGTCGACTCCAGTTGACGTCTCAGGCGGATGACGTCATCAAAACTTGTGTGCTCCGTGATGGAGTAGACCAGGACGAAGCAGTCCCCCCAGAGGGCGTAACCCTCGTTCCAGTTGGATGTAATCTGTAACGGTACAAGCATTACAGTAAGACTTCTAAGTCGGCAGTCTATAAACTATCTAGGGTTCCAGTTGGATGTGATCTGTAACGGTACAGATTCATTACAGTAAGACTTCAAAGTCGGCAGTCTATAAACTATCTAGGGTTCTTAAGTCAGCAGTCTATAAACTATATAGGGTTCTTAAGTCAGCAGTCTATAAACTAGCTAGGGTTCCAGTTGGATGTGATCTGTAACGGTACAAGCATTACAGTAAGACTTCAAAGTCGGCAGTCTATAAACTATCTAGGGTTCCAGTTGGATGTGATCTGTAACGGTACAGATTCATTACTGTAAGACTTCTAAGTCAGCAGTCTATAAACTAGCTAGGGTTCCAGTTGGATGTGATCTGTAACGGTACAAGCATTACAGTAAGACTTCAAAGTCGGCAGTCTATAAACTATCTAGGGTTCCAGTTGGATGTGATCTGTAACGGTACAGATTCATTACAGTAAGACTTCTAAGTCAGCAGTCTATAAACTAGCTAGGGTTCCAGTTGGATGTGATCTGTAACGGTACATGCATTACAGTAAGACTTCAAAGTCGGCAGTCTATAAACTATCTAGGGTTCCAGTTGGATGTGATCTGTAACGGTACAAGCATTACAGTAAGACTTCAAAGTCGGCAGTCTATAAACTAGATAGGGTTCTTAAGTCAGCAGTCAATAAACTATCTAGGGTTCTTAAGTCAGCAGTCTATAAACTATCTAGGGTTCCAGTTGGATGTGATCTGTAACGGTACAAGCATTACAGTAAGACTTCTAAGTCAGCAGTCTATAAACTAAATAGGGCATGTATACTGTGTTGACTAATACACAATGACTAAATGATCTAAAAACAATGACCAGTATTAATATTATCTTACGTTTTTGTATTTATTGTCCATGAAAAATAAGCATGCTCGTATTTTCCAATGATATACTTTTAAATTTGAAGAGAAAACGAAATAGCTAATAAAAAGCAATCCACTAATAAAATAAACTAATTAAAATTCTTGACCTGTCCAGCTGTATCGAGAATGTCCATTCGAATGTCGTCATCTTCTGCTGGACCTGACATGTACCTGTAAACACTCTCTGGGAAGAGAAAGATATTTCAAAATACTGAAATGTACTGAAACTTACTGAACCTTACTAAAACTTACAGAACCTATGATTTAACGTTATATCTTTTTCTGTTAAAGATATTTCAATGTACTGAAACCTAAAACTTACTGAAACTATGATTTAACGTAGCAAGAATGATTCAATTTTAAATCTTTACAAGTTAAAGGTAAAGAATTTTAATTTACTAAAATCTTTTGAACGAATGATTCATTGTTATTTTTTTAAAATTAAAGATTTAATGTACTGAAACCTACTCAATTCAATTTTAGACTTTTATTTCAATATAGGTCAATTGCACATTGTATTCGGTCTTCATTCATTTGAAAATATAGAAAACTGACGCAATTGAAAATATATGTATATATTTAAAAAATACGTTGTTGCGTAAAATTTTAAGTTTTACAGCAATTTGCTTTTATCTACATTTTTATCTTGATGGTAGACTTACCCAAGGTAGGCGAGTATTCTCCGATAAACCGCTTCGTAATAAACCTCACTGTCAAAGCTGAAAGCGGGTACAAGTTTAAAATATTACTTTATCTGTTTATTTTCTTTTTAAAGTTTAAACATTCTACTTTCAGATAACAAAAAAATAATTGCTTAAATTTTAGAGCGTTTTAAATGTTGGGTAATTTTTGTGGTGAAAACATTTGCAGTTATGTTAAAAGGGGAGAAACTCGACACTAACAAGGGATGTAACTCTAGGATAAAAACTACTTACCTGTTTTTCCAACGCCCGGCGTTCCAAGAACGACAACTTTACACACGTTTTCTTTGTTGTCTAAAGCTTGCGGTGATCTCATGAGTTTTGTCCCATTCATTACACGAGATTTCCAGGGTTGTCTCGCTTTGCATATGTTTTATTGTGCTAATGTTTTAACTCATTTGTCAAGTCCTCTGGTGTGAGTCACCACTGATAAGATCAACTCGCCTTGTAGTTTTTGTTATAAGATTACCGACTGGAAAGTCTAACTGCTCTTTAATCACTCAATGCTTTGCCGAAAAATTGTCAATCCTGAAATTAAAAAAAAAAGATTTTAAAAATTGTTTTTGTCGATGGTGGTTTGGATGACAAAATGAACGCCGGCACGAGAAAGGCCATTAAAACTTAAAAGATAGTACGTCAAACCAGGTCAGTTGTGGAAATGCCGTTACGCTTCAGTGGACGAGTGCGTGATGTCTTTAAAATATTGAGGTAACTTGGCAGCTTAAGGTTATGTAATGTCGAGTGTACTTTAAATTTACAGGTAATTTTATAATTTGGGGGGGGGGGGGGGGGGAGGGGGGAAGTGAGAAAAATAGTGTGTGTGTGAGTATGTGTGTGAGAGTGTGAATGAGGGTGTGTGTGAGTGTATGTGTGTGTTGGAGTGAGTGTGAGAGAGTATGTGTGTGAGTGTGTGTGTGAGAGATTGAAGTGTGTGGGAGTGTGTGTGTGTGTAAAAAGTGTATGGGTGAGAGTGTGTTTGTTATTTAGCTGTGGACGTTTCTGTATTTGAAGAACATTGTTTGAACGTTTTTTTTTTGCCAAGACGAGCGAGACTCTAACAAAATCTTTTCACTCATTGGGGGTTGAGTCTTTGTTTGAGTGATTGTGTGATGGATGGTGTGAGGATGGTGTGAGGATGGTGTGATGAATTGTGTGAGGATGGTCTCAGGATAGTGTCAGGATGGTGTGAGAGGTTGTGTGAGAAAGTTGTATAGGGCCTACACACAGTAGAAAACTGGCCAAAACCTGACAACACATTATTTTATCTATAACACAGCTTATCTTTAGGTTTCAACAGCCCGTCTTGTCTAGAACCAACAACACTCCAGCCTGACAATAAAACTGACGATAGATTTAACAGCCCACACATAGTACCAGCCAATTTAAGACTGACAATATAATTAGTCACAGGCGCCAGTGGATCAAAAAGAAAAGGATGTCAATATGGACACAGCGGTTGTTTAAAAAAAAGTTCAGAAAACCTATTGGATGCATGTACATATCATTTCGGCAAGTTAACTACTTTGTAGAATACAATTGATGAAATATGTAGATGAACGATTTATAATTCCAGAACTGTCTTCAATAAACCAGGCAAGCGTAGGATTCTCGTGCCATAATTCAATCATTCGCGTTGCTTGTGTCTGGCGTTGGTCTGCTTGTATTCCAGCAAAGTTAGCAGCACAGAAAAATATATACACAAATTCTAGCTAAAAGTCTGTTATTTGTCTGTCAAGTCGTGTGAATGACAGTGGGGGGGGGGGGGGGGGGGGGATGCGCCAATTTTTATTTTCCATCAGAGATGCATTGACAAGTGGGGAAAGCGTTGAGCTAATTGATCGAACTCCACGATGGACCCTAAAGTGTTGTTCTACAAGCAAACTGACATGTGTTCTGTAAACAACCTTACGCGTATTGCTCTACAAGCAACTTTATGAGTATTGCTCTATAAGCAGCCTGGTAAAATATGTGCAGAATATTTAAAGCTTGAGAGCAGGTTTACCTGAAACCTGTAGCCGAAGGTTTACCTGTAACCTGTAGACGAAGGTTTACCTGTAGCCTGTAGCCGAAGCTTTACCTGTAACCTGCGGACGAAGGTTTACCTGTAACCTGTAGCCGAAAGTTTACCTGTAACCTGTAGCTGAAGGTTTACCTGTAACCTGTAGCTGAAGGTTTACCTGTAACCTGTAGCCGAAGCTTTACCTGTAACCTGCAGTAGAAGGTTTGCCTGCAACCTGCAGTAGAAGGTTTGCCTGTAACCTGCAGTAGAGAGTTTACCTGTAACCTGTAGACGAAGGTAAATGGTGACCAAGGTGAGCTCAATACCAGCTGATTACCACATACCATATGTCAGACACTGTGGTTCTCTTAAAACCATAAACTGTGGTTCTCATAGAAACATCAGCCAGAACCACTTTAATGGTGACACCGTTGGGACAAAATGTTTTTTAAACATATCAAAGTATTTGGTAAACAAATCTGCTAATTCTCACCTTATGTCCACAAAAACTAGTGATTAACATTTTAATTAGATTTTAATTAGTTAAGTTTAGATTGAAAATTTAGGTCTCGGATAATTCAATAATTAGGATATGGCGCGGCTAATTTGTTAGAGGCGCAGAAGGTGAGGGGTGCATTTGTTAGAGGCGCAGAAGGTGAGGGGTGCATTTGTTAGAGGCGTAGAAAGTGAGGGGTGCATTTGTTAGAGGCGCAGAAGGTGAGGGGTGCATTTGTTAGAGGCGTAGAAAGTGAAGGGTGCATTTGTTAGAAGCTCAGGAAGTGAGGGGTGTATTTGTTAATGGCGTAGTGAGGGGAGCATTTATTAGAGGCGGAGAATGTGAGGGGCGTGTTTATCAGGGGAGAGAGAAATAGGAAGTTTGTTGTCTGATGTGTTACTGCATGTAACTTCGGAAATGAAAATTCCAATTCCATTTTGACCAACTTTGATACATCATGACCTTAAGAACGTACATCGTTTCGTGTAAGTATGTCAAGGTCGTGATCCGTTAATTCCCTACCGTAGATCTGACGCTAGGTACCAGGTGCCCTCAATGAGTACCAGCCACCATTAGACAACGGCAGGGTGCCAGACCTGTACCTGGCTGTGGTTTACTTCAACCGTTGTTCAGACACTGTCTGACCAACTCTGGGGCGAGTGGTGAACTTAAATTAAGTAGTCCGGCATTTAGCAACTTTTAAATTTAGTTTAGATAGTTTAAGGCAGAACTAACTGGTTGCTTTTTCAATGTGTCTACGGTTAGTTCGTGGGATCGGGAATGGGATGATGTTTAAGGGTGGGTTAAGTCAATGGATCCTGTATGGAAGGTGGGCTGGGGGGGGGGGGGGGGTTAGCTCAGAACTATATTCAAAATAAATGTTGGGGTGGATTAGCGAGCAGTCGCCATAATTGTACGGGTTGGCTATTTTAAGGTAAGGATGGCGTTTTGATAGGTTGGCGCACGGGCTGGTTGGCGTACGGTTTAGAATAGAAACAATTTAAAAAAAAAAGTTTAATTCTTAAACTTGCGAGTTAACTTTTTAGTTCAGATGAAATGTCGGCAGATATCTGTATTCTGTAGATGTCGCTCGTGACAATGTAAGATCAGGTCACACGACCAGATGTGGCCCGTCACGTGACCATTTTAGCTATAAAAACAATTTCCCCATCCGTTCATGTGCCAGATAGTCTGGCAATAGGTGAGAAAAACATTTATCTGTACAGAAAACCCATTAGGTACAATAACAAACACAGTCGGTCAAATTATTTTAGTACCATCTGGCACATGTCTTGTGATCTTTGAGAGTAGAGAAATTTGAGATTGACCCTGTTCATGTAGACAACCACACAGCACTGTTCATGATTTTTTTGAGGCACAAAACTAGTTAGTTAATAAAGAGTTGTAATGAATGAATTAAAATCTCTTAAATGTTATTTCAATATCCAAACCATACTTTATCTAGCTGCGAAAACATTTTTATATCTTGTATCTTGTGGTGACATCCATTAGCCTCAGACAGACGGACAGGTACACATCCATTACTAAAGACCAGTTGTCTAAACAATCTGTCGCCTCACACTGGGCTAGCTGTGGGAGCGGTCATGGTTCACACACACACAAACACAGACACACACAGACACACACACACAGACACACACAGAGACACACACACAGACACACACATCCATTACTAAAGACCAGTTGTCTAAACAATCTGTCGCCTCACACTGGGCTAGCTGTGGGAGCGGCCATGGTTCACACACACACAAACACAGACACACACACACACAGACACACACACACAGACACACACACAACACACTCACACACTCTCTCTCACACACACAGACACACAAATAAACAAACTCACAGATACACAAAAAATGTGTGTGAAAGTATTTTCTCTTCAAACTTGCACTACTAGATAAGATTTTTCTAAGTTCGACATTCTGACCTCGTCTACGTCACCAGCCAAGATGAACCAAACTATTGAACACAATTATATTAAAACAACTCTTGCCAGGTTGATGAAAACAGTTTAAGAAGTCTACACAAGGCCACAACAAGCAGGAAGATCAGTAAGAGCTGAACATCTTCAGACATCATCTATTGTTTGTAATTTCTGATCGCGTACTCGGGTTAAAATTTTATTGATTCATTGACCAATACCGATATTTTTTTACGACATAACGTACTGTAGCCAGTAGCTAAAGTACTAGGTGCGGCCAGCAGTTATAGTACGTGATGTAGCCGGTAGCTACAGTACCAGGTGTACACAGTAGCTACAGTACCAGGTGTAGCTAGCAGCCACGACACCAGATATTTGATTCTTTTGTTGTAAACTGTCTGTTCATGGTACCATGCTCCATAGAGAAATCCATCAGTTCTCCAGCCTGCAACTACAAGGCTATGACCAGCAAAGATAAAGCTAGTCATTTTTGAGACCGATAAAACAAATTCACGAAAGTAGAACATTCTAATTATAGTGGACCGAAATTGTTTTAAAAGTTGTTTTTTTTTAAAGTAAGTTTCGTCTAAACCTTGCCCTATAAATAAGTTGAAGCTCAACCCACAAAGTTAAGTTTCTGGAAAGTTCTTGAAGTCTTAGTTTTCTGAAGATGAAAAGTTTGGTCGTGTTTTGTGTTTTTCTACTGGCACCAGTCACCATCTGGGGTGCAGGTATGTTGTGTGGGGTGCAGGTATGTTGTGTGGGGTGCAGGTATGTTGTGTGGGGTGCAGGTATGTTGTGTGGGGTGCAGGTATGTTGTGTGGGGTGCAGGTATGTTGTGTGGGGTGCAGGTATGTTGTGTGGGGTGCAGGTATGTTGTGTGGGGTGCAGGTATGTGTTGTGTGGGGTGCAGGTATGTTGTGTGGGGTGCAGGTATGTTGTGTGGGGTGCAGGTATGTGTTGTGTGGGGTGCAGGTATGTTGTGTGGGGTGCAGGTATGTGTTGTGTGGGGTGCAGGTATGTTGTGTGGGGTGCAGGTATGTGTTGTGTGGGGTGTTGTGTTTGGGTGCAGTTATGTTCTGAGTTTGAAAGCTTGACACATTTTCTGCCTCATATCTATTACATTAGAAATTGCTGGTTCAATATTCAACACGTCTTCATTTAAAAATAGTTTACTTTTTCCATCATAGAGTTACATTGTGACATTTACTGTGAAAAAACGATTACAGGTTCAAAACCAGTAATCGTTCCACCAATCAATCAGCCACGAAAACCCGGAGGCTGGGCATTGGGCAGACGATACGAACATTTGGTCCACCCGTGGTTGTCGTGTGGCCCTTAATGCAGATTTAGGCTACTGAATGACGTGGCACTACTCATTTCTATTTGATGTGGCCCTTAATACAGATCTAGTCTACTCAGTCTATTATGTGATATGGCACTTAATACAGATTAAGTTTACTTAATGACGTGGCACCAATATTCGGTCCACTCATGTCCGTGTGACGTGACACTTAATTCTCTACTCACGTGTATGAAACAGACTACACCCTGTGTGAGCTAGTGTGTAAGAACGACCCAACATGCATGCCCGGCTGTCTGGCAGGAAGGAGAGCTGCACGTGCCGATTACGTCATCTGTGAGTTGAGCTGTGGGGTGACCAACACGGCCTGCATCAACTCGTGCGTGCAGGGCAGGAAGAGGGACACGCCCACCAAGAGGGTGGACTTTGTCCTCTGCGAGATGGTCATCTGTCCAAACGACAACGGCTCTGACTCCCAGTGTATGAAGGATTGTTTACAGCACGCCAAATAGGGCGGGTCAACAGGTCATCATCTACATGAAGTGGTGAGTCGCTAGAATAGTTAATGTAGTCATTAGCACGATCAAAGGCACGGATTTGTGTACAGGCTAAAAACGCTTCAAGGAATATTTGTATACACTTTACGGACCAACGCTTTCACTACTTAACTGTTAAAATTCGTATTGCTAGTTTTTCAAAAGCTTATTATAAAAGTGTCTGTACAAGTTTTTATTTTGCTTGATTCTGTTTCAGTAAAAAGAAAACAAAGTTTGAAGTTGCACAAAGTCACCGATCAGTCTCCTCTCACAGTTATTCAAATTCCATTGTTTACATTGTCGAAATAAATCATCCAGATAAAAATAAATTGTACACAAAATATTAATCCTGTTTGATATGTCTTGTTTCTTTGTGTTTCGTGAGTTTTTATATCTTAAATATTTGTAATTTATTTCACACTTTCTCAAATATACGATCACTGCATGCTGGATGGTAAACCACAAATTACTACAACAATGAAAGACTGATAGCTGGTAGACAACAAACTAGAGCCATCGGACATTTATAGCTGGTAGGCAACAAACTACAGACACCAGAAATGTACAGCTAGTAGACAACAAACTAGAGCCATATGAAATGTATAGCTAGTAAACAACAAACTACAGCCATCAGAAATGTATAGCTTGTAGTCAACAAACTACAGACACCAGAAATGTACAGCTAGTAGACAACAAACTAGAGCCATATGAAATGTATAGCTAGTAGACAACAAACTACAGCCATCAGCCATCAGAAATGTAAAGCTTGTAGTCAACAAACTACAGACACCAGAAATGTACAGCTAGTAGACAACAAACTAGAGCCATATGAAATGTATAGCTAGTAGACAACAAACTACAGCCATCAGAAATTTATAGCTTGTAGTCAACAAACTACAGACACCAGAAATTTATAGCTAGTAGACAACAAACTACAGACACCAGAAATTTATAGCTAGTAGACAACAAACTACAGACACCAGAAATTTATAGCTAGTAGACAACAAACTACAGCCATCACAAATTTATAGCTAAAAGAAAACAAACTTCAGCCATAAAAAATTCCTAGCTAGCAGACGACAAGCTACAGCTATAAAAGATTCCTAGCTGAGATCACAAGTTACAAAGCGATATGAAACACACCTATTTTTTGTTTGGTGTTGCTGATTTTCATTAGACTGTGTGCCAGTGTGCCTGTGAGTCTGTGTGTCTGTGTGTGTCTGTGTGTCTGTGTGTGTGTCTGTGTGTGTGTGTCTGTGTTTCTGTGTGCTTGTGTGTCTGTGTGTCTGACTGCGTAACTTGTATGATGTATATTTGTGTAAGCACACCACAACAAGGAAAAAAAAACAAATCATTAGTGATTTGATCTGCCTAATTGGGCATCACCAACTAAACTCGAGTTCCTAGCATCCACCGTAACAATCTCGTGGTTCACTCAACCTTTAAGTTAGATCAACCTGTTTAACCTCGTCAAACTAAATTATTTTGTCTAGTATCGAAATGTTGGTCCTACGCGATCGTCCCAGAGAAAGAGGAAGTGTCCCGTCTACGTAGTTTAAGACAACATTAGATCCCCACGATTTACGTTTCAATTTAAATAAACCGGGAGTGATCTCCCCTAAACTTTCTCGAATATCTATATATATAATTCTCTTCTGGGAGCCGTTAGAAAACAAGCTGCAAGCGCCTCCTTGCAGTCCCCTCTCTTTCTCTCTATCACTATCACTATCACTACCACCCCCCACCCCACCCCCACATTGTCTGGTGAGTTGTGGTAACGCTAAATGTTTACAAAGCTAAATGTTTACAAATCGTAGAGCCGTAGAGCCGGGTTTCTATTAGGGGCAGATAATTTAGTTCGATTTTAAACTTACAGGAGGTAACTAAGAAATAACTAAGATTAGGCTGCTTTCACGGGGGGGGGGGGGGGGGGGGGGGGGGTAGGGTCGGGGTTAGGGGAAAGGGGGGGGGGGGTTAGTGTTTTAAAGCAAATATTTTCAGTGGCAGCATTGGTACTGTCGAATTCACACATTATGAATTACTGAAAAGTAGAAAATAAAACAACTAAATAGCGGCGTATGATACGCTGCGGGTCGGCTCGTTATTATATAAAACAACAGGGGATGGGAACTCCATTTTAAATACTTAAAGTTTTTAAAATAGAATACTTTTGAGGCAGGTATAATATCTTTGTATTAGTGTAAGAATCATTTTTCGAGGCTGTCCATCCCGTTTCACCATTTTACAGGAAAGTATTTTTAAATACTTTTCACCTTGTTTTCATGTAAAGTACAAAAAAAAAATTAATCTCTTTTTTAAATAAACCGGGAGTGATCTCCCCTAAACTTTCTCGAATATTCTAATATAACACTAAGTGGGATGGCAACTCGGAATATAGACATGATTTTTGTTTACTTAAACTTTTAAAAATAGAATAAAATCTAGTAGAAAAGAGAATTGCACACCAAGTGAACACTAAATGAATGTGCATAATAGTGCGCAATATTATTAGTTCTTTATAAATTTACATGCGTTTTTTGAGAAATCAGAAATAGTGTAAAACGGAAATTACTCAAAATTTGAAAGAAGGTAGAGAATTAGATCTTTTACTTACATGTGAAATTTCATTTATCTATCTCAAATAGTACTTAAGTTATAGGCTTTTGAAAAATTCAAAGTAGAAAAAGTACCACTTCCGGTTATCGGAAATCGCTCAAAAGCTGATCAGGATCTATGATTTTGATAAAATACTTATAGGGGTGTAACGGGTGTATAGCTGTAACGGTACTCAAGTTATTTTGTTTACACACAGACACACAGACACACAGACAGACACACAGACATACGGACAAGATTGCAAAATTATGTTTTTCCGTATCAGTGAGGTGTAAAACGTCCAGATTTGTAAAAATCTCGATTTTTTTTTTGCACGATTACAAGACTTTCTCTATACGAGCAAGTAAAAAAAGTAACGATTCTTTTAGTTAACAAAATATTCTCTACATACAAACACTCAAGAGAAAATAGGTCATCGACGGCGCTCATGGTTCTTTACAACCCTCGTTATCAGGGAACTTAACGAAGATGGCATATATTTGATCAAGTTCAACATTTAACTGGACATCTGACTAATAAATTAATCAACTAATTAAAAGATAGCTTTTATCTTCATTGAAGCCTCTCACGATTAAAAATAATTCGCAGCACCGGAGGACTGCAGATAAATCTTATCGTAGTTTCTAGAACTTGTCCAGGTATCTGAGACCTGCTTGTACGTAAAGGTGTGGACAGGTGTAGCAAAGGTAGAGAGTTCGGTCTGTCAACACTCGTCTGTCATAGGTAGAGAGTTGAGTCTGTCAACACTCGTCTGTCATAGGTAGAGAGTTCGGTCTGTCAACACTCGTCTGTCACAGAGTTCAAGCACGACACGACAAGATGAAAACTCTTGCCCTCATTTCTGTTCTTTCCATCGTCTGCGTGAGCATTTTCGGTGCAGGTAAAGTAACGATGTGTTGGGTGCATTAGGCATACATTTTGTCAGGTAAAGTAACGATGTGTTAGGTGCATTAGGTGTATATTTTGTCAGGTAAAGTAACTATGTGTTTGGTGCATTAGGCATACATTTTGTCAGGTAAAGTAACGATGTGTTAGGTGCATTAGATGTATATTTTGTCAGGTAAGTAACGATGTGTTAGGTGTATTAGGCATACATTTTGTCAGGTAAAGTAACGATGTGTTAGGTGCATTAGGTGTATATTTTGTCAGGTAAAGTAACTATGTGTTTGGTGCATTAGGCATACATTTTGTCAGGTAAAGTAACGATGTGTTAGGTGCATTAGATGTATATTTTGTCAGGTAAGTAACGATGTGTTAGGTGTATTATGCATACATTTTGTCAGGTAAGTAACGATGTGTTTGGTGCATTAAGCATACATTTTGTCAGGTAAAGTAACGATGTGTTTGGTGCATTAGGTGTATATTTTGTCAGGTAAGTAACGATGTGTTAGGTGCATTAGGTGTATATTTTGTCAGGTAAGTAACGATGTGTTTGGTACATTTCTTATACATTGTGTCAGGTAAAGTATGCTTGCGATTGGCGCATTCGGTATACTTTTGGGACAGGTATAATATCTTTGTATTAGTGCATTTCTTATCATGTCTATGTGACGTTACATATGGTAGAATTTATTTTTTGTTGGTGGGCGTGGTGCAGAGGCGTAGCGACCCTTCCCGGCGCCCGGGGACATACTTCCAATTTGGCGCCCCCTCGAGAGCAAATTTTCGATTTGCACCCCCCCCCTCAAACTTTCAATTTGGCGCCCCCCCTAAGGTCGGCGCCCGGGGACATATGTCCCCCCCCCGCCCCCCCCCCCCCTCGCTACGCTACTGGCGTGGTGTGTGTGTGTGTGTGGGTGTGTGGGGGGGGGTCCATGTGCCGTTAAACGTAATGTATTTTTTGTTGTTGGGGGGGGGGGTAAGTTACGTTACACATTATAATTGAAGCTATGTTTCGTTGGTGGGGGTGGGGGGTGAGGGTGTCTATGTGACGTTACACATTATGATTGAATCTATTTTTTTTGGTAATGTCGATCTATTTTCCAACTAGCAGAAAAAAGACTGGATGCACAATATTGTTCAACATTCTGTGGAAACGAGCGAGGATGTCTGTCTGCATGCAATGATATGAGGCGGGACACCGGGGCACAGGCCGACTACACACTGTGTCAGTTGATGTGTGGCTATGACAGCGAGTACAACTCTCCCTGTATGTCCGCATGTCTGCTCTATGACGACTGAACACTGGGTGTCTATGTCTTGACAGACAGGCAGTAATTGACAATAGACAGTTCTGACAGAGTGATTGACAACAGGTCTTGACAGATTGATTGACAACAGGTCTTGACAGAGTGATTGACAACAGTTCTTGAGAGACAAATGAGACAGACATGTGACAGGAATTGACAGCAGAGCTAGACAGACTTTGGATAGGAATAACGGAGAAGACCCGGTCTAACGCAGTCCTCAAATAATAACAGGCTTTAAATAAAAAATAAAATAGCTTGTTAATGCAAGCGGTTTTCCTTCGTCTTTCCTAACTATATTTTAAAACCCCACATAAATCATACAATTTACACCCTTTAATCCCCGCCCCCCACACTCGTAATATAGGCCTGCTTTATTTCATTATATTTAAAACACATCCGACTGTAGAACACTATAGACTGCAACACGAAGATAAAACTACACAAACCCCTACATACCCCTACATACACCCCCCTACACACCCCTACACAAACCCCCTTACACAAACCCCCTTACACAAAGCACTACACATACCCCTACACCCACCCACACCCCCAGACAAACCACTACACGATTTCAATGAAACTCTACCCGACCTGCTTCAGCTGATCATGGAATTTAACCTCCAACCTCTAGAGCCCGTTCAATGTGTTTCAAGTATTTACAGATCCCCACAGATCCTTATCGACAGGGCCGCCAGTTATCTCACGCCTAGAGCGCCCAATCCAGACACCGCCCTTAGGGGACCGACAACTCAGGAAAACTTAGACCTGGCCAAGAGTTAACTTCCCTTGTAAGCAGCGCCCATGTTTTGTTGGTGGTGTAAGAGAATGCTCAAGTAAAAAGTAAACGTATGAGAGTCCATCGTTAATTAGTTTAATTACACAGTAAAATACATTTAATTAATGGTACCCGTGGTCAAGCGTCAGAGCGTACAACTACTCTTTCGAATGTCTCGAGTTCTCTTCACATGATTGAGTTTAAATCTGTAGAGCGGGCCTAGTCCATCAAGCTCTAATTGGCACCTGGTTTATGTCGGAGAAAATCTAGGTGGCTGTACTGTTACGTACATAGAACTGACCACACCGTTCATCCTTATGCCCATGTCCCTCTCTGTCTTACACTAACTAAAACAACTATGTGTATTAAAACAACTATGTGTATTAAAACAACTATGTGTATTAAAACAACTATGTGTATTAAAACAACTATGTGTATTATTGATGGATTGCGTGAATAAAGTACGATTGAAACTTAAAATCGAACTGGTTATAACTAGCAGAGACTTTCCATACTCTGATTAGTTTGATTGACCTAATTATATCTACACGTGAATGCCTGTTGCTAATAAAGTGATGGATTAAAGCCTCTACCAAACGACCCCAGAAACCAAAGCTTTACCATGCTGGGTTTACGCCAAGGTGAGGGCCCCGACACCCCATGTCACGGCACGGAAGAATAGGTCACCAGCATTGTGTGCAGGAGGGTGGGGGGTGGGTGAGCAGATAGGTCAATAGCATTGTGTGACGGGGTAGGCCGATAACGAGGTACCTTAAATCGATACCGACCTGTGAGCCAGATGACGTCACGAAATATATCTTATGATACCTGTATGTCTGATTGCGTCATGAAAGTAGAGGTCTTACCTGCATGTTCTATAAGGTGCCTGACCTTGGGTGGATCTAGTTGGGTGGATCCAGATGGGTGGATCTAGATAGGGTGGATCTAGATCGGTGGATCTAGATGGGTGGATCTAGATGGGTGGATCTAGTTGGGTGGATCTAGATAAATGGATCTAGATGGGTGGATCTAGTTGGGTGGATCTAGATGGGTGGATCTAGTTGGGTGGATCTAGTTGGGTGGATCTAGTTGGGTGGATCTAGTTGGGTGGATCTAGATGAGTGGATCCAGATGGGTGGATCTAGATAGGGTGGATCTAGATGGGTGGATCTAGATGGGTGGATCTAGTTGGGTGGATCTAGTTGGGTGGATCTAGATGGGTGGATCTAGATGGGTGGATCTAGTTGGGTGGATCTAGTTGGGTGGATCTAGATGGGTGGATCTAGTTGGGTGGATCTAGATGGGTGGATCCAGATGGGTGGATCTAGATAGGGTGGATCTAGATGGGTGGATCTAGTTGGGTGGATCTAGATGGGTGGATCTAGTTGGGTGGATCTAGATGGGTGGATCTAGATGGATGGATCTAGTTGGGTGGATCTAGTTGGGTGGATCTAGATGGATGGATCTAGTTGGGTGGATCTAGATGGGTGGATCTAGTTGGGTGGATCTAGTTGGGTGGATCTAGTTGGGTGGATCTAGTTGGGTGGACCTAGATAGGGTGGATCTAGATGGGTGGATCTAGTTGGGTGGACCTTCATTGATGGATCAACAGTGATGGACCTATAATGATAGACCATATTTGATACCCCAGTCTGGGTGGATTACATGCGTAGACTTTTGTAGAATGGGGAAATACTAAATTCTATACCCTCTGAATTCCGGCGACTTGGTGGATTAGACCCATAATTAAAGCTTCCTTTTTAATTGTAGGGGTGGGTAACAATACTGACACAGTTTAATGTATGCTGGACAGGGTGGCAAGGACAAATACCATCCATGTTATTGACTATGGGAGAGCTGTAAGGTGATACATGTTCATGGCGTGCAGAAATGTTAGTATACCTGTGGGACGACACATTTAGTGACACTTTTTCTGGTACTTGAACCATTTTATTATTTATTTATTTAATTTGAGCTTGAACATGAAGTTACAGTGTTGTTCAAAATTACTACATATTAATGAAATGGTGAGATTGCTCAAGAAAGATGTAAGAAATATGGGTTGATGTGGTTCTCAAAATAATGCATCTGGCAAAAGTTTTCGAGTAATTTACTCAGAATCTGTCACACTACCAATTCATGGATACGCCACTGTGTGATTACATGAGCGACGAAAGATTAAAAGATTACTGTACAAAGATGTAGATTTCTAATCGACCATGTCCTGGAGATAATGTAGATGAAAGCTTCCATTAACCACTCCATTTGATAATAGGAACAAGTTCCTTTCAGCACAAAGGTTAGAAAATCTAATCAACAACGATGTTTAAACCGTCTTTATGAACAAAGCGAATTGCTATTTTCAGACATTTATTTGCGGTTTGTCCCAAAAATTAATCGAATTCAACCGTCTGGGTTTAAGGAAGTGCAAAACAATTTATAACCAGGGGCCATTTTTTATTCCCCCTGCCTAAACACGCGGGGCGCTAGGGGCATGCGCAGGGAGAAATTTCGTTTCGCAGCTTCTGGTTTGAGGAGTTGGGTTTTTTATACAGCGTTTTTTGCTCAGTTTTTTAATGTTTTAAAACCATAAATGTTTGTTTTCTTCATTCTGTCAAGTGCTCTTTAAATTTGTGGTGATTGTGGCAGCGTTGTTTGGCCATTTATTTACATGTTTGTGCAAGTGTGGTGTTTGTGTGTATGGGTGTGTGTGAGTGTATAGATGGGTGGGTTGGAGGGTGGTAACAATGTACTAGGATGAATATTCCAGAAGGAGAAGTTTAAAGGAGAAAAGGCATCTACATCTAGAAATATAAATTGATTTAAAATAAATAATAGATAAATTAATTTTTGAATTTGTGAAAGTACGACAAAATCAGGCATAAAAGTTTGGTATGTTGTCATGATACACCGTCAACCAGCAGCTATTGAGCAACATTTAGTGACTACCTTCCCAGCCAAAATGGAACTCCTACCTGATGTGATTGTTATAAATAAGACCGTTTGTTAGATAGAAATAGACGATATTTGTAGAGGATTATCTAGTATCTGTAAATACGAATACTTATGAGAGAAAATTCTCCTGACTTAGAAACAGATTGTATTAAAGAGCATGAATCATGATCTTTATCCATCAAAGGCAACGACATTCAGGCTTAACAGCTACATAATATGTTTCTTGATGAATGAAAATGTTGATTTATTCCCATCGTCTCTTGAACAGTTTATTTTATTTTCAATAATTTAATGTTTTATTTCAGGGTTATTTGTTTACTTTCACTCGCATTGGTTCCTTAGTTTTATCTTTAATCAATTAGAACCAGTTTTAGTGAAATATTACCAACATTCCAAAAATAAATTAGAATTTTAGTGTTTAGCAAAAAGACCTCTCTGATTCCAGAAATGGGTGAAATATCGATCCTGATCTGGGATAAAAAATCAATCAATATTGATCTGGGATAAGAAACCATTGGGTATTGACCTGGGATAAGAAATCAATCAATATTGATCTAGGATAAGAAATCAATCAATATTGATCTGGGATAAAAAAAAAACCATTGGATATTGCTCTGGTAGACGTGAAATGCCAGGGCTCCAACATTGAGATTCCATTACCCACGTGACCAGGAGATGGAGTGAGCGACAGGCACGTGCAGCTTTTGTTTATAACGCCGTAATGAGCAGCCACGTCACACGTTTTTTCCCTCCGCCCTCGGAGCGCGCGCCGTGTTATCTGTATCCCATTCATTCAGACGCCTGGGTTCCTTCGGGCGGAAGTTAGGGGCGCCCTCTGCCCCAGTCGGGCTGTAGAGGCGGGTCGGAAACACGCGAAGTTTCGCTGAGAAGTTCGCATTTACCTGCCGGAAAATATCGTATTGTAGCTGCGAAATGTCAATGATGGCGTCGATAAATAAACGCTGGTTATAAAAAAGTTATTGAACTTTGACTGCGCGCATTGCACAAGATTTGTTTTACGTCAAGGCAGCACACAGGGGGAATAGTAACAACAGTGAACATGCCAATGTGTAGCAGGTCCCTAGCAACTTTATGTTACTAAAAGTAATGCAGTTTCTTAAATATGTAACAAGTCAAGTTGCTAAAAGTATTTCAAGTGTCAAAATAGGGTTTACGTAGCGTCAACATAATGTTAACATAATGTCAACAGTGCCAACATAGAGTCAACAAAGTGTCAACGCAATAATCAAAAAAATGATAATAACCTCTAACCTCTAAGACTGAGGTATTTAAATCCCGTGTATTTGAGTCTGTGGCGAATCAGACAGATCAGGGCAATAAACTCGATTAGGCTCGCCGTGGATACAGGGGCGCATGTTAGGTGGTGCGATGGTTACTCCGCCTTCATTAGTTTTAAAGGCCCAATACAGAAAACATTGAGACACCACACTGTAACTATGAGTAAATAGGGTCGTCAAGATCCAGCAGCAAAACAATTCAGCTGATGAGAGAAACGATTGGCTGCACAACTAAG